AACATGGTGGCGCCCAAAAATATACTCGCATCTTTGAATGGAAACAACCTCTAAATATTTCAAATATCAATAAAATATACAATGTGCGTGCTCGAGACAGCAAGGTCGTAAGAGGACCAAGATTTAAGATGTAACAAATGTTGAAGCTTTTGGAAGATCACCACTATGTTTTGAGGTACCAAATTTGTGAGGATAAAATCATTGTTCGAGATATATTTTGGAGTCATTCCAATTCCTTCAAGTTGTTCAAAACCTTTCCCTCTGTGCTCATGATTTCTCAACATATAAAACAAACAAGTATAGATTTCCTCTCCTGTAAAGTGTTGGTGTTACTTCTACGGAGATGACTTATTCAGTCGGTTTTTCATTTTTGGAACCTGAAATAGAGGACAATATTACATGAGCTTTGAAAATATAGAAGATTGTGTTGAAGAACCAATAAAATACGCCACAAGTCATAATCATTGATTGTGATACCATACTGATGAATTCGGTTGCAATGGTGTTTCCTATATTGTCCGCATTATTTTGTAAGTATCACATACCCAAAAATGTGAGAAGATGAGTAAAACCCACGGTTGGCACGAAAAAACTCAAACATGAAGATGTAAAACTTGTCAAACCTGGTGTGATGGTGGAAAATGTAATGGATGCATGGAATTCTATAATAAATTCTTCCACAAAAGAGTTATATGCCAACTCTGTTCTAAATTTTAGGAGTGTGTGTATGTGTGTGTGTGTGTAATATTCCATATTTGTTGAAATATGTTGAGGGCACTATTCTGGATCAGGTAAAAGAGAATATTGTTTGTGCATGGATTGATCAGGTTCGACACTTTGGCAATACAATAACTAATATAATTGAACTGACGCATGCTAGATTGAAGAATTGGTTGGGAAACAGTAAAAGTGATTTTTATCAAAATTTGGGATGACGTGGACCAAATACTCTAAAACCAACATAATAAGATGCAAATATCTTTTGGTTAGAGCACTATTGTATTAGAAAACCACTTCAAAGACGACGTATTTTATTCAAAATTGGTTGGCAACGTATCTCGGGCGGCTTTGAATTTTATTTTTCACAAAGTCAAATGAGAGGATAAAACATGTCCAAATATCTCAAAGTGTGGATGTACATTTAGCAAGACTTACGGTCTTCCATGTGCTTGTTTAATTTCAAAGAAGTTGAAGCTTGAAAAACTAATACGTATGGATGAAGTTTGCACTCACTGGACAAGGCTTCGTTTTGATTAGTGTGATGAAGGATGATAGATCAAACATATCTATCATGAATGAGTGGAATGTGATCCAAGAGAGATTCATGAAAGTTGATGACATCATGAAAATGCACATCAAATAGCAACTTAAGAAGATTACATATTCAAAAACAACGGATTTGAAACCACCGTAGGAACTGGTCAAAATAAAGAGTGCCCTTAAAAAGGTAAAACCGACTCAAAGTGACAACTCCATGAGATGGTCTCCTTCATACTTTGAACATGTTGACTCACATTGTCCGAATTTTTCGACTCCAAAATCTCAAAAAAAGTGTTTTCAAGGGTGCCCCCATTAGCAAACCATCTCCTCCACCGTCATTACCGAAAATCAAACTCATTGAAGAGATGCCGCTTTTTATGCAAAAATACATCAAGTGGGTTGTAAATGTTGAAAATTACGACAATAGTGGTTTTTGAGATGTTTCAAGTTTACTCGGTAAAGGAGATGAGGACCACGAATTTGTCTGTTGTCATCTTATATAAGAGATGATGATGCATAGAGAATCATACAAAAAGTTATACGAGAACAAAGAAAATTACGATATAATTATCAATGTATTTACTCATTGTCTTAGTGGTCTGGCTCCATTTAACAAATGGATGTGCTTACCGAAAATGAGACATCTTATAGCAAGTGCTTATGATAGGGTGTGCTTTGATATAACACGATATGGTTTCTCGAAAACATTCTTTCCACTTCGGAGTAAGTCATCTCAAAATCTACCTAAACGCATCATGTGTATTGGTTGACTATAAAAAAAAAACATTCTGTTCAAGTTTATTTGAAACCGAGATGTCATATAACAAAGACATCACCGGAGTGGACATATTTCACACAAGATGCTGAAACATGGTCAAATCATTTTCTTAAAAGGATGAAAGAGTTCACTAAGTTTAGCGATATTAAACGAGAAGCAAATAAGGAAAGGTCGAAGAATGAGCCACCAATAGATTTAGATAGTGACATATGTTTTGATGTGTTTTAGTTGTAATCTAATAATGTAACACGTTTTTTGGTAAGTAATGCGCTACATAATGTTATAAAATTGGGTGGTATTTTTTTGACAATTTTTGTTTTTTAAATTCTGCTATGCATAATCAATTGGTTATGTTCTGCATAATTGTCGGGTGGTTTTAGAGATGCATCTTCGGACACACCTTTTAATTATTAAAAAAAATAGGGGATTATCTGGAGATGCATCTTCGGATAGACTCTATTTTTTGAAGAAAAATAAAAAGAGGGATCCAAATATGTATCTCCAAAGTCTTTCATGCAGATATGATCATGTTTATAAGGTCCTTATTGCTCTACAACTTCTATAAATAAGGTCTCTCATTCCATTTTCTTTACACAAAACAGAATGACTACATATCCCCATCTTGCATTTGTGTATTTTAATTGCGCAAAACTCTCACTTCAATTTAGGATCTGCGAGGACATACTTCTCGTTGATATGAAAATCAAATTGAATACTCTCTTGTGATATCCAAAAATTTGGAGAGTCGTCAAGCTTGAGTATCGTCCACCCTCAATTGACAACGAAGAAAATATATAGTTCATCATGCTTGAACTGAAGACAAATGATGATTTGAAGGTTATGTTAAGTATCTTTTATTGTTACTCAACAAAGAGTTCGGTTGAAGTGGATGCGACGATTCAAAGATTAGCCAAAGATATTATAAAAATGTTGCAACGTCCTGAACCACATGTTTTTAATGTGTAATGTTTATTTTGATGTTAATTTACGTTAGTTTTCCATTTTGCCATTGTTTATGTCAGTTTTTGTTTTGAACTAACATAGCGTATTTCAATTACGGAGACGCGTCTTTAAATCAACCTTTTGTGCATACCTAGATGCATCTTCGAATCAACATTTTGTACATATAAAAATGTGCCTCCGTATCAAATTATAACATAAATAAAAGTTTCTTATAATTTCCATCTTACTTGTGTGTGAAAAATATGTGTTTAAAGATATATTTTCGAAAAGTTCTCATATCAAATATCCATGAATATGTACTTTAAAAGTTGTTTTTTTTTAAGATATTCAAAGAATTTCCCTCCTTTTAACATACAATACTTTAAGCCTCCACAACGTTCTGGCAGAACTTTTTGCCATAACCGATAGTTTTAGTTCCCGCAAATAAAAAACATAAAAATTTAAAGCCTTTTCTCCATTTTCAGTCGTTTTAAAAAATAAATAAAAAATCTAGCAACTTTTTTGGCCACAGGTAATGTTTTATTAAAAAAATATATATTTGAGGAAACTTTTAGCCGGTAGTACTTTAAAAAAAATATTAATTCTGTTTGCGGGATATTATAGCAAATAAACAATTCAATATGTATTCAGAAAAATCAATAATTTTTATATTTTTGAGGCAGAAATGATATTATTCAATAACTTATAACAAAATAAATAAATAATTTCCCCAAATCCTATGGCACTAGATAATAAATTGGTATAAGAAAAAACTTTATTTGTCAATTACATTGAATATCCTCTATACTCAATTGTATAGATCTTAATTCAAATTAGAAGAGAAATCTTTATCAATGTGTTGTTGCATTCTATAGTAAGACATTGATAGATCAATAACATAAAAACAATAATTAAAAAACATCATCTTGCAAGTACAATTCAAATGAAAAAGAAAAATCATATAGAAATAGTAAACACAATAAAGTATGATAGAAATTTCTTAATAAGGGCGTGCATGGTTCATAAATCAAGCTAAATTAAACTATATATAATTCAGTTTGGTTTCTAAAACCATTTTAACGAAACTAATTTATTTTTTAAAAATTGATTTATATTTGAATTGGTTTGTTCAAAACCGGTTTATATCAAAAACCGATTTTTGGTTAGACTAGTTTTAAAACCAAATTTTCTCAATCTTATTTCGATTAAAACTCCGTTTTCAATTTTCCTAACGTTATCCAATCGTTGGTTAACCATTTATATATTAATTTTAAAAAGTGGATATTAATTTTTGTAGTCTTAATAAAACGGATCTGGACCAATTTGAATCAAAATAATATAAACATTTAAAATAGATGTACCATATTTTTAAAAATGATTCTTCTAAAACAATTTTTTTCACACTCGTAATTGAAACTTATTTACCAAACAATAATGAAATTCAACCAAATTTCATCACGTAGAGAAGGTTAATTAAAGCATGTGCAAGCGTATAAAACAGTTGATACTGATAAACTTTCGAAGCCGGCATTCTAATTTATAAAATATATATTAATTTACAAGTGAAAAAAATCTAAAAATATATATTTCCTAGCTTTAATTATGATAATTTATTTTTATTTCGATCGATCAATCAATTTAGACGCGACGATTATTCGAAATTGATTCGTACTTTAATTTAGTACCAATCAATTGAATGATTAAAAGCATTTAAGAATAGTCAACAAAGATGATTCCCCTAGTTAGACAATGAATGGATGAAACTTTAATAATACTTTATGAAATCAATTTTTCTATTAAAAGGCACACTACTAATGTTGTTAAGATCAATCTAATACACTCATACATAACAAAGAAAACTGTCGATTTGATGTTTCAAATGCTAGGTTCCTATAGAGGAATCTATGGTGGGGGAAAGAAAAGCAGGAAAAAATTGAGACTCATCTTGAGAAATGGTGTGCATGCTTTCCGCTTTCCATTTCCTATAAGACATACATCTTGATCCGTATCACACATATCATCACTTGGGCTCTTTCGGAAAATGTAGCTTGATAAGTGCTGGAAGTTCTGCTAACTCAACCTGGGGTTTCCCAAGTAAAATACCTTTTAATTTCTCATCGCAGTTTACCACGTTCTTGTTGTTTGGATCCTGCTCAAGTAAAGAAACAACCCATTTTTTAGTCATTCGATTGAACCTACTAAACATACTAAAATATATATACCAAAGCCAAGAAAATATGGCAGTAGCCCCCAACTTAAACTTGAAACTGGGTACACGCATTTTATAGACTCAAACCTTCACAAATGTGTAAATTAAATAAAAAAAACCATATAACTGCTCAATAACATCAGAAAGGAGCCTTCTTTATTGGGGAATACTATGTTGAAATTGTAATAGAAAGGCAGATAGACTGGCATGTTAGCGTCTGACTTTTCGCTATTATATTTATAAAAACAATCTCACACCAATACATTAAGAAAGACTAAAAATACAATGGCCACTATGATACACGGTTTCCTTCCCATGTTTAGAGAGCTTGAATCTCTCCCTCTGAATCCTTAAACAAAAAACCGAGTCCCCATCCCTTTGTTATAACTTCCCTATTTACAACGATTCATAAAACACAAAAAACTGTAAACACATAATCAAACTTCACACCTAACTGTAACACATCGTAAAAACTTCACACATAAAAACATAACTTCCACAAAACTGACTTTAGTAATTCTTAATGAGGAGGTCTAACATAATGCATGGTTCAAACAATATCCACATTACAAACTAGTGAGCTCTAAACATTAATGCCCGTCTTTCCGCTAGTATATTTTTAAAAACAATCTCACACCAAACCAATACACTAATAAACACTCAAAGATAAAGGACATTACAGAACACAGTTTCCCTTCCATGTTTAGACTAGCCTAAACCAATGCTTACTAATGCACAACAATTTTCTATGCACTAGTGCAACCAGTGCAATCAATAGCAGATTATGGCGGTTACTGAAGTGGTCCTTGGCAGCTAAAGGACACACAGTAGCAGAACGGTTTGGTGTACTCGGATAGCAGCGCGGAACAGCCGACCCCAAAAATGGGATAGCACATAGCAGAATGGTCACCATATGATATTTTTTGGACAAATTACATGAATAATAATAATTATAAACATATGAATTACAGAGGGAAGAACGAATTTGCTGAGAGAGGTGAGTTAGGAACTTGTGATTTTTTTTGGAACGGTTAAAGTGCATAAATGTCGGTGAAGGAAGGTTAGGTTGAGTTTCAACTCAAATTTGATTGAAAAACTCAAAATTACCCTTAAAACGCTTTATATCTAAGGGGCAATTTCGGTTTTCCAAAGGGGAAAGGGATAGCAGGACAAAAACCACTCCAGGCCAGGACCCCTCTGCCCCCTTACCCGCTACTTACCCTATAGTAGCTGCTATAGTGTTCTGCATAGCTAAGGCTCTTCCCTTATCGGTTGGCCTCTGCTCTGCTATAGCACGATGGCGCCGCTATAGCGGGATAACGTTCGGCTCTCACTCTCTTCATTTGTTAGTAACAACTAGTTGTTGAATATTTCAGCTCAATTACATTACAATCACCGCAACTCCACACATAGAAAAGTGAGAAAAAAATATCAACTTGAAAAGCAAGGTTTCAAATTCAAAGTAAACCCTTTGGATCGTTCATAAACACATGTTGCCCTTTAATCTTCAATTAAGAAAACCGAACAATAACAATCATTTCAAATCATTCGGATATCGAAAATTATTTTGATAATGTGAATGAATTTGATAAAGTTGTAAAAATAGAGCAGAACCTGAAGATTGTTGGTTTTGATGTAGGACCAAACGCGCATGAAACAGGACAATCGAGAAGTCTGAGATTGACCGACGAAGTCTCTGAGAGTGGAAGGAAGGTTAACGAGATCGATCAAGTTTGCGAGTTTTTTAGGGTTATCAGTAACAGCTTTTTTCATTCGTTGAGGATGCATTTTTCACTTCAATACAATAATTGTAATGGCAATTACTGCGAGATGTTAATCAAAATTCTAACTTCAGAGGAAGAAGAGCGGTGTAATGTTTGTTTGGGATACCCTACGAACGAAATGTGCAACTCAATTTGTGTTTTGTTAGGATCAGGAAAGAACGATAGACAGAAAGTGAGTGGAAAATGCGATCGCAATTTAGTTGTTTGGTAGGAGCGACATTGAATAGGAAAAGAGAAAGACTAGATGTTTTACTAATCCCTAGCACAAAATACTAGTATTTGATTTTAAGTATGTTCTTCCTCCATTTCAATATAGAAATAATAAAAATTATATTTTTTAAAGAAAATCAAAATATAATTACTTAAATTAAGATTTTTTATGTTTTTTATAAACAAAAAATTAATATAAAGATGTAGAAATAATTTTAATTGGTTATTGGTTATGGAGAAATAATTTTAATCGTTATTACTTAAATTAATAACGATTCACCGAGTACGCGCTACTCACAACTCCCCGCGGGCGCATTTTGGCCGAGTGCATAAACTCGGAGTTCCAAAGGGGTGGTGTCTGCTTCCCAAAGCTAACGCTCCCTAAACCCAACGTCGACAAGTCTAAGTTTTGCCGATTACACCAGAGTCATAGACACGTCACAGAAGATTGCGTCCACCTCAAGGATGCCATCGAAATCCTAATCAAGGAAGGACACCTGAAGCAATACACTAGAAGGAACGAGGCTCCTCAGCATGAAACTCGCGAGGCGAAGAGGGCCGAGGAGGTGCCACCACCCTCTGACGAAACTGGGTTGTAGGTCGCCTTGTGTATCTCCCGACCAGAGGAATTCTACCTCCCCTACGAGGCCGACACAACATTGTCCGCTCATAGTCCGTGGGAGAACTTCCCAGCCACGATGGTCATATTTGGCGGGGGTCTGTTGGCTGGAGGATTTCGACTGAGAAAAGTTGACAAAAGGGCTAACATGTGGGTCGACAAGTCAGGAAGATGGTGAAGGAAAAGACCCAAGTCGACACCAGCGGAAGATATATCACAAGTTGGCGCCAGCGGGAGATGTGTTGTGAGTTGACCCAAATTTATGTCGTCGAATGTGTCGATTGATGGCCAATTAAACCGACAGAAAGTGTGGAAACTTTTGAGCGGGAAGGAATTTGAAAGGCTGAGAACGTGGGGAAGTTACAAAGATGGTGGAGTCACACGTGTCACCACCAGGACCAACATTGAGAGAAAAACAGTTATTTCCCTGTTCTATTTAAAGCAATGTCCATTTTCATTTAAAGGGGTGCATTTTGTAACATTGTCAAAGGAATACACTCTGAGTACCAAGCGTTAAGAGAAAAGAGTTCACTCCTGCAAAATGTATAATAGAGTCCATATTTCTTTTTAAAGTAATTTACATTTTCAAATTTTAAGATATCTTTTTTTCAGTTGTTTATTTGCTTGTTTATCAATTCGTGTACACTTTTTCTTCTAGTTTGTTTCCTACTTACTCTAAACGAAAACCATTCTACCAACATCACATAGACTCGACCAGATTGTTCTAGGATTTGTTTAGTCGGTCCCGCAAGTAAACCTGCGTTAGAAGGCCAAAGGTTGTTCGTGCGAAAACCGCGTGCGAACAAATTGGCACGCTCAGTGGGACCCTTTGGTTTGGGTGTATGCATTTATATAGTGGTAAGATGGTGATACCACGTCCAAACAAAGAACTGTCTTCGGAGGGAAATACGGTTGTGACATAAACAACTGATGTTGGCACTGACATTGTATCTGCAGTTTCGACTGCACATAGTGGGTCTGTCGTGATGCCACGTCAACCTGAACCTAGGCCTATAATGGCGGGAACTGGGGGCAGTATGTGCCTAGTTTCACAATGCCCACGCCTTGAGTCTTTGGAATGCCAACAGAGTTCATGTCGAGCTTACATCATAGTGGTCCACTCTTTGGAGAAATTTCATTGTCAGCTTTCTCACCGTATCAAGGATTAGGGCCTTTGGTAAACCAAGTTATTAGGCCCCCAGGGTTTAGTCTTCCATCTCAATCAATTCCGACTTTCACCTCAAGTTCTACCGCCGTTATGAGACAGCAGATGGATGAAAGTAATCACAAAATGGTTCACATGTTGACCCATCAAATGGGCATCGTATTAAGACCATTAATACAATATTCGACCCAAAATTACCAACAGTTGGCGACTCAGATGACATGGATAGGTGATTTCCTAAGCGCTCCTAGGGCCCCGAGTCGAAAAACTCCTCTGCTTCAACCGGAGACGCCAATTTGACAAGACGAAGTCTTCGAAAAAATAATTGACCAGCAACCCCATGAGCTTGAACACACATCTAGGATGGCCCTAAGGCCTCCCGTTATTTTAGTTCATAGAAACCAAAACCCAGACTATGTGGTCAGACAAGTTCGACATGAAGCCATGGCTGGCGAACCAAACTTGGAAGTTATGGTGGAACGGATTATGGTTTGCAATGGAGCAAACTCAGACCTTCGACGGCCGACATATACGTCCCCACTTCTAGACTTTGTTTTGTAAACAGAGCTTCCTAGGGGATGGAAGGTTCCAAAGTTTACCAAATTTTCCTGAGAGACCGAAGAGTCCACCGTCGAACATGTTTCCAGATATCAAATTGAAGCTGGTGACATAGCAAACAATGAGGACTTGAAAATGAAGTATTTTCCGAGTTCCCTCACAAAGAATGTGTTTACTTGGTTTACCATGTTACCCCCACAGTCTGTCCATACCTGGGCACAATTAGAAAGGTTATTTCATGAACAGTTTTACATGGGATAATCGAAAATTAGTCTGAAAGAGTTAGCCAGTTCCAAACGGAAGGCCACAGAGTCGGTGGACCAATATCTTAACAGGTTTAGACTTTTGAAAGCAAGATGGTTCACTCAAGTCCCCGAACATAAGCTAGTTGAGATGGAAGCTGGCGGCCTAGATTACTCGATCAGGAAAAATTTAGACACACAATATCTCAGAGATATGGCACAGCTAGCAGATAGGGTCCGGCAGGTCGAACGTTTGAAAGCTGAAAAAACCCAGGCTAACAAATACCGTAAGAAAGAGAAAGTTTCATATGTAGCCGCTGACGAATACTCTTCTAACAGCGAGGAGCTCATCGGCAAAAGAGAGATTCACGTGGCTGAACTTAAGTCAGGGCCTTCGTACACATGTAAATTATTAAAACCATCAAATGGGAAAAATCCTGTCGAAACTGAAAAACAGATAAATATGTTGCAAAAACTTATACTTTTGATGTATCTAAGTGCGACAAAATATTTGATTTATTAGTTAAAGATGGTCAGATTATTGTCCCTCCTAGGGCAAAAGATCCCCCTTTAGAGCAAAAGAAGAAAAGAGGATTTTGTAAATTTCAAATTTTTCCTTGGTCATAAGACATCTCAATGTGTTCTTTTCAGGGATTTGGTGCAGAAAGCTTTGAAGGAATGTCGGCTTTAATTTGGTGAAAGGACAAAGATGCAAGTTGATGCAAACCCTCTGAAGGTCGAAGAAGCCTTGTACTCGGAGTTGTACGAATGCATGATGGTTGAGACTACTAAAGGTCTCAACAAATAATTGAGAACTGAAACTGTTGAATGCATGATGGTCAATACTACTAATGGTTGAGACTACTGAAGTTATCAACAAACAATTGAGAACTGAAATTATTGAATGCATAATGGTCAATACTACTGATGGTTCCGACAAGAAGTCTGAGGAGGAACTCAAGGCAATTTACCCTCAAGCTGGCAAAAGCCTGACGGATTTCCAAGAGAAATGCAGGGTGAGTGGGTCGAAGGTTGTGTCATGCCCGAGATGCAACACCGTCTTTGATGAAAAGGACGCTGAGAAGTACGATGTTGGTAAGAAAGTGGCATTGCAAGATGGTAAGACATCGGTCCCAAGGTTTGTGTTTGACTAGAACGAGGCTCCTCGTCGAAACGAAGAGTACAGGAAGCTGTTCCAGCAAGCACGACCCAAGACTTTTGTGCCACCATCAGACACACCATGGGATAAGTGGGTGGCACCCATGAGTCAGAAGCGGAGCAAGAGGCTAAAATGGAAGGTGTTGGATCTAGAGAAGGATGCAAAGGTCTCCGACAAGAAGACTGAACCTAGGGGCTATGTGGTTTCCCCCAATTACAAAGGGAAGAATCATATGACAATGACTCAATGAAGGCGGTATAAATGAAATAAAAAGGCTGCCAAAGAGGCTTCGACTTCACAATTAAAGCTCGTCGGGACCTCTGGACTAAAAAGGGGGTGGTGTCGTGAAGGAGAGAATCGTGACAAATCGAACTACAACAATGATTGTGGAAGCTTCAGGAGAAAAGGGGGTGGTGTCAACCCAGAGTTCGAAGTGCACATCTATGGTCGTGAGTAAGAAGGAACCAGAGTACACCCTGAAGGTAGGAAAAACACTTAGAAGGGGGGGGGGGGGGGTTGAATAAGGGTTTCAAATAACAACTATAACAATAGCAAAAATAACAAGGTATTTTTATCCTGGTTCGTTTAAACTCAACCTACTCCAGTCCACCTTATCCAGGTGATTTGCCTTTCTCAACAAGGACTTAATCCACTAAATCAAACTGATTACAGTGTTAACCACTAACACAAACAGTCTTAGTCTTCTCAATAAATCTGACCACACTTGGTCTCTTAAGGAACCTTTTACAAATAAGTAAAATACAATGTGTGTTTAAGAGTTGCTTCTAAAAAGTTATATCACAACTGTGATTTTACACAAATGAAGAACGAATTAAATCTTAGAATGAAGTTGAGATGTTTGGATATTGTTCTTAGATTGTTCAGTAGTTCGTCGTTTGTTGAAATGATGTAGAAGTCTTGTTTAAATAGAATTTCACTTTCATTTCTTAAAGAGCGTGCAGCTGACATTCTGTCTTCTTTGACTTTTCTTTCCCAGAAGAGGAATGTTCAGACAAATCCTTTTTGTCTGAATTCTTGTGTCATGCATGAA